CGCTCGGGTAGCCAATCACAGCGCAGGATTTGATTCATCTTGCCCGCTCACGGAGCTATCCATATAATAAATATACGTTATTGGTAACTATAAGTTAGAGCAATTTCCAATTTAGTGTCGCCAAATCCTAAGTAATCACTCTGGCCAGTAAGAAATTACACCGATAACTCAATGAACCAATCAAAATTCAAAGCCACAACATTATGGAAGCCGACACAAAGCGCAGGAAAACGTGTCCGAGCGAGTCACGATTGGTTTTGGTTTTACGTTTGATTGGAGGAGAAACAGGCACAAGATTTTTAAGTCAATCACTTCGCGTCGTAATGCAAAACCAAAGCAGCTTGACTGCAAATTACGCTTAATGAAAACCTCTCTAAACATACTACAGTTCAACGTCACAGGTTACTAAACCAAAGATTATTATTTAAATTGACATTAATTAATTAATTAATTAATTTATCCGTTATGCTATCCAAAGATCCCCTTTTAATGTTACACGCGTCCTGGGACGACTAATACACCAACGTGGCAACGTAGTTACAGTTGCTATGACTTTAGCCTCCAAAGGAAGACGTTCTTTGGACTCCTTTTTCAAATTCTGTCGTAGTTTCATTAAAAAAAAAAAATTACGCGAAAGACGAATTATATTTCGCAAATTGTCGCAAATCTGGCGATATGAAATTACATAGGAGTACTGTACGGGTCCGCAAATGATCCCCAAATTGAATCGCAAATGATCCCGGACCGGAAATGATCCCCATATTGGACCGCAAATGATCCCGGTCAAAAAATAAGGAATGGCATGGATTTATATCAGAGGAAGGTGAGAACAAAAATCATGAACTAAAAAACATGCTTTATCATTTTACAAATAAACATTCCACAGTTGCTGTTTTGTTCCTCGAAGGATAGAGATCGTTTTCACTGTCACGCTATATAAAAAAATATAATAAATCGAAAACCAACCAACGGAAAAAGCTAAGGAATTGTGATGTGCGCTATAGAAGATAAGTAAATAAGACACTTCTCCACGTTTTAGCCCTGTGCGTTTCCCCAAACTTCAGATATTCGTCGTAAATGTTTGTCAGAAATTTACAGAACCCATTAAGAAAACGCCACGTTGGTGTACATCCGTGGTACACCAATATGACGGCCGGAATATAGTGTAAACATCTGGAACTTACTTTGGCTTTCTAGCCGACTTATTATCAGTACTAAACAAACAAGCATTTACATAAGCACTTTTCCTAATGCTCTAACTTCTAAAAAGGCTCAAAATCACGAGATAAGTATATATTTTTGAACAAACTCGATCGTAGCCTTGTGTCACGTAAACTCCATAACCCCGAAATTCAAAATGCTCTGGTTTCCAAACGAAGCACGCTAATTGTAAACAGATATAAATATACCGCCTCTT